ACAAATCCAATGTTTCACGACTTTAATTAACAATTTAAGAATTTTAATGTCACTTAAGTTACGTAGTTTTAGATCCAAAAACTAAGATTTTTTTTTTTTTTTTTAATTTTTTAAAGTCATTTTCACATTAGTCAAGCAAATCCAATGTTCCACGGCTTTAACTAACAATTTAAGAATGTGAAAGTCGCTCAAGTGATATTGCACTTTTAAATCCAAAAACTAAGATTATCATTATTTTATGTGATTTATTTTTATTTTCACATTGCTCAGACTCATTATTTTATTTTATGTTATTTATTTTCATTTTCACATTGCCCAAACAAATCCAATGTTCCACGGCTTTAACTAACAATTTAATTTGAAAGTCACTCAAGTGATTGTACTTTTAAATCCAAAAACTAAGATTATATTTGAAAGTCACTCAAGTGATTGTACTTTTAAATCCAAAAACTAAGATTATCATTATATTATGTGATTTATTTTCATTTTCACATTGCTCGGACAAATCCAATGTTCCACGGTTTTAATTAACAATTTAAGAATTGGGGAATTATCACTTAAGTGTACATTTCAAAAAATATTTTCAAATTAGTGGTATTCATTATAATCATTAATATATATGTAAAATCATACACTTTTTCATGATTTTGTAATTTATTTTTGAACATATCTCTGGCTAGTGATTGCCCCTTAAGAATTTCAATGTCACTCAAGTGACTGTACTTTTAGATACAAAAATTAAGATTATCAATATTTTATGTGATTTATTCTCATTTTCAAATTAGTCAGACAAATCCAATGTTCTATGGCTTTAACTAGCGACCATACTTTTAGATTTCTAAAAACAAATGCGGAATACTAGCTTATGGGGTAAGGACGAATGCCCAAGCCTAATTGTACTACTGTAACTTAATTATATGCTAACATCTTATTTAATGCAAAATAAATAAATAAATAAGTAAATAAATTAAATAAATAACAATTCTTAAAAAAAAAAAAAAAACAAAACCAATTTGATTGTATTTTTGTTAGTTGTGATTTTGTTTTTGGGTTAGTTTATTAGTTAAACTAACTAGAAGTAGTGGAGATAAAGGTAGGTGACCTTTTCCTCAATCATTTTGAGTTGAAGTTGTGGAAAAAGTTCACCAAAATGAAATTACATTGCAATTGCCATAAAAGGCCCAAACTATAGACAACATCATGGGAGAAGGATTTTAATCTTCTCTAATTATCATTTTATAGAGTTGCTACAACACGTCATCAATATACAAAATGAATATCAATAGGGTGTAACTATAATTTTATTATTTTATGACTTCATTAAGAGTTTTTTAATTCAAAATTAACATTTTTATTGTAAATTTAAAATTAACATTTACTTAAGTGGATCTTTCATACTTATTGATTATAGAATGAAAATTTCCATTTCATCCATAAAATGGAGGGGGTCTAGGTCGGAAAAAAATTGCTCCAAGTGCACCATTTAAGTTTTGTGTCAATACACTAATGCGTATCTAGTTTTTAATTTTAATTTTTTGTTTGCTTTTTTTTTTCATAGATTAGATTTGAACTCCCGCATTTACTCAACAACAGCGGCCATATGTTACTATTGTGTCCAAAATACTAGCCGATATATAGTTGTTCTTTTAACCTGTATGCCAATCTTTCTTTTTTTTTCTCTTTTTTGGGAGAGGGGTAGGAGAAAAGACTTGTGCTTCATATTTTTAGGAATTACTATTCTTCTTTATAAATATATAGTTATTCATAGTGTCCAAAATTTTTCATAATTCTCTAAAGAAGACAAATTTTGAGTAGTATGCATAGTTGGAATGGTTTCGCTTGCAGCAATGTACAAAATGAGACAATCGATACTGAAACTAATCTAGTTCCATGGGAGGATCCAAATGGATTTGTCAATAAATAATTTCACACACCTTTTCCCTTTCCCTTTCCAAATCCCTCCCCAAATCCCTCAACCAAACACAGCATAAAGAAGACAAATTTTGACTAGTATGCATAGTTGGAATGGTTTCGCTTGCAGCAATGTACAAAATGAGACAATCGATACTGAAACTAATCTAGTTCCATGGGAGGATCCAAATGGATTTGTCAATAAATAAATAAATAAATAAATAAATAAATAAAAGTGAAATAGAATTACTTATATGTAGTCATTTTATACAAGTAACTAAATAGAAAATATATTACTTTCTTACAAATTATTTTTCTAACCTAGACCCCCAGCCCCCCCCCCCAAAAAAAAAAAGAAAAGAAATGAGTTTTTACATCATTGTATTTTTCTTTATTCTTTTGTACAAATTCAAAATCCAAATACAGCTTTAATCATCTACAAATTAAATTTTGAGTTTTACTGCAAGTAAACAATTTTGAATCATGTAATTTACACATTTTTATAAGACATTTTAAAACTAATTTCCACCATTCAAGAAAGAAAAGTAGAATCCTCTTGTCTTGAAACCAACTTATTTTCTTAACGGTTCAGACCATAACAATTAGTTTTTTTAAGTGTTTAACATGTCAGGAAAAGGCCTTGTTTGAGTTAGGGTTCTCTCTATTTGTTTTTTTTTTTTTTTTTTTTTTTTTTTCAGTATATTCAAACTTGTTATGGTTGAATTAGGAGAGGAAGGATAGAGGAATGTTCCTTAGTCACTTTTTGTAGGCTCAACCAATATGTTTGGTCAACTATCCACTTTCAATTACTCAAAATAATTTAATATAAACTAAACATTTTAGATTCCATTTGAATGAGTATATTTTTGATGTAGGAATTTAAAGTTAACTATGTAAAATTATATAAAAACTAGATTAAAAAAGCTTATCTTATGAGAGTTTGAGTTTTTTGGTAATTGGAAAAATATAGATTACTCAACCTACGTGCTAATAAATCAAAACCACCCGGACCGGATCAGAGTAAACAATAATGTTGAACTAGACCGCCCCTTGTCTTGAAAAAATTCACATGCGGCCACCAGCTTTCACAAATAAGCCAACCAAGTGACACATACCTTTGCCTTGTCTCAAGGGAAGTTTGATTGTTTCCACAATTGAAAAATGTTAATCACTCCAACCAAGTTAATGGATATAAGGAAAAGCAAGCCTTTCTTTTATAATGTAGCAATTAAAAAGAAAAAAAACTAAGTAAATTATAAAATCAACTTTAGTGCTAACCCTTGCAATAAATTAGATCTTACCCTTTTCATTTAAAAAAAATTAAACTCTTCATTTCTAAATTGATACCAATCTAAACCAATCCATTTGTGTCTATTAAGCTTGGGTAAGGAGATAAAATTAAAATTGTAATCCTCTCCATAATATAGTTGTAATAGAAGATATCCGTTACATCAAAATTGGTTATCAAAATCACCACCATGAGTAGGGGTGGGCATGGCTCGGATTGGTTCGAATTGTGAAAAAATCATGACCAATTTGTTATTTACGGTTCTTAAAAAATTAGAACCAATCCAATCTGTTTAAATCGTGGAACCAATTCGAACCAATCCATTTAAACACGGATTGGATCGGTTTAGGATCACGGATTCACATAATTAAATGACAAAAAAAAAATATAGAACATTTTAAATTCATAAAAACATAAGCATAGCATCATATTAGTTCCACAATAGCAACATGTATTTCCATAATAGTGACATATTGTTTTAGAATTTAAATCACCATAAGAAAACTGATTTCATTATAAATATTTAGACCATTACAAATTAAAACTAAAAACTAACAAACAAAAGCAATAAAAAAAGATATTATACGGGTTTAGGTTTGGGTTTAGGTTTTATATGGAGTAAACGAAGATACTATGTTAGGAGGGTGTATAATATAAATATAGGCTATTTGTACACGGTTTAGATCGGTTTCAATCCGAAACTGTGGGGTTCAATCCAGGTTCGATCTGTGGACTATGGACTTTTAATTTTTCAATTCAGAATCGAACCACGGATTCAAAAAACCAATCAAAACCTATCAGATTGGATTGAACCGAATCGAATTACAGATTTTACAGATTCCTTGCTCAACCTAACCATGAGATTACTAAGAACAAGATAATGAATTGTTATATTTGGAACTATATACAAAGAATAATGTTTACTCAAAGGTGAAGAAGATAGCAATAATATATTTCAAAGCAAAAAGGATATCTATCAAGATTTCATTGGAACAGGGTCTAAGGTATAATGCCCCAGCCTTCCGGTACGATACAGATTCAGTAACTTGGCAGCAACCTTACCACGGCCATCCTCGGCATCTGATTCTTCAAGCACCCGTAAAGCTTTCCGCAAGGCTGCAAACTGGGCTTCAATAAGTTTCAATAAATCATTTCCGTCTTCAAGATTATTTTCAAAATAGACTTATATATCATCTATCTACCTCCAATAAGATACTCTTATTTGTAATAATCGTTATCCACGTGTACCACATTGTTAATCTAAAATGTTTTGAGGGAATTATCACAAGAATAATTTTACACATACTAATAATCTTTCCAAAAATCTTATTAAAAATGCAAGATGCCAAATGTGATTGTTGTAAAAAAAAAAAACAATGACATTTAAACATTCAATGATATTTGGACGTGTATATTTTTAGTGTTCGAGACATAATATTGTGTCCTGATTGAATCCCTGTTGCTTTCTTGACCACAAACAATATTATAATTGGGGGAAGGACACCATAAGAAAACTGATTTCATTATAAATATTTAGACCATTACAAATTAAAACTAAAAACTAACAAACAAACAAAAGCAATAAAAAAGATATTATATGGGTTTAGGTTTGGGTTTAGGTTTTATATGGAGTAAGAGAAGAAACTATGTTAGGAGGGTGTATAATATAAATATAGGCTATTTGTATACGGTCCAGATTGGTTTCAATCCGAAACTGTGGGGTTCAATCCAGGTTCAATCTGTGGACTATGGACTTTTAATTTTTCAATTCAGGACCAAACCACGGATTCAAAAAACCAATTAAAACCTATCAGATTGGATTGAACCGAATCGAATTACAGATTTTACAGATTCCTTGCTCAGCCTAACCATGAGATTACTAAGAACAAGATAATGAATTGTTATATTTGGAACTATATACAAAGAATAATGTTTACTCAAAGGTGAAGAAGATAGCAATAATATATTTCAAAGCAAAAAGGATATCTATCAAGATTTCATTGGAACAGGGTCTAAGGTATAATGCCCCAGCCTTCCGGTACGATACAGATTCAGTAACTTGGCAGCAACCTTACCACGGCCATCCTCGGCATCTGATTCTTCAAGCACCCGTAAAGCTTTCCGCAAGGCTGCAAACTGGGCTTCAATAAGTTTCAATAAATCATTTCCGTCTTCAAGATTACCATGAAAAGATGAAATTGCCTCAAAGAGAGTTCGACGAACATCGTGCACTACAAAATCCTGTACGAACAATCATGAATGCCATTGTCAGATGAAGAATAGGATAGAATAGGATTGGAGCTACAAAACCAAAAGAGAGTTCTTTGTCTTTTTCTGTTAGATGGAAAACAAGAAAATAGCAGTTGTAATGAAGGCAATGCAACCAACCCTGGAGATTTGTTTACAAGATTAAAACCTTAATGAGGAATCATGGTAGGGCTGCAAACGAACCGAGCTGAGCTTTGCAGGGCTCAAGCTCAGCTCGTTTGTTTATCAAGTTCGAAAACAAGTATGGCTAAAGCTCGGCTCGGCTCGGCTCGGCTCAAAGCTGGATAATGAAGAAAAAGCGGCTTAATAATCAAACTTAGTCGGCTCGTTAAATATTATTCCATATTAAATATGTATAATATAATTATATAACACCTTTCATATTTTTTAATACTTATTTATCCTATTATTTAAATAAATAATAAACAAGCTGAGCTTTACTTGAAGCTTGGTTGATTTGCAGCGGTACGCACACCTGCTCTCTCTCTCTCCCCCCGCAGTGATGCACAAGGGGTGCAAGTGGGAAACATGAACGTTTTGGTTTTAAAACACACTTCATTGTCATACTTGGAAGCAAAGTGCTCCCCATTTCTGAAGCATCCTTTCAGAAAAACAAGTTTTCCACCCAATATTGCTTCCGGTAACAAAAGGTCCATCTATTATTTATGTGTTTTGCTGTGCTTTCAGCATGATGCTGCTCAATCTTAAGTGAACCTCAAGCTTACCTAGTTAAATATTAGAATTGATCCAACTTGTCTTCACTCTACCTCATCCAAAAATTATGTTATCAATCTTCCATGCCCACCCCCCAAACTCATAATGTCGAAAAATGTAAGAAGAAACAGCAATAAAGCACCTAAACACAAGAACTAAAACAATACTGTAAGCCTTTAAGTTAGTTAGCACTTTCTTTGCTTCCTTCCAAAAGGTAAAATGAAGTGCTGTTAGTGAAAACTTAAAATTGGAAGTCTTTTGTTTGGCAAAACAGATCAATTTGAAAAGACAGTGGGGCTTTCCATTGCTCATTTTGTTTTCCCAAGAGAACATTCATTTTCAGTTGGTTATCCCATTAACCCAATCGAAAATATTTTTGTGATGACGACTGGAATATCATAGGTGATTTTTGGAAATTAGTTGGTCTCCTGTTTATTGTTTATTAAGAATTGGGTTGATGATGTTTTACCGCATTTCTCTACTGAAGAGAGTCATATCCTTCATTTACCAATTTTAGATTTTAGAAGACAATCTTTTATTTTTCTATTTTCCTGCAGAAAATGATTTACATGGGGAAAAAAAGAAACATTGTAAAGATTTACTTATCTTCCCTATTCAGTAATACAAATTGTTCAAATTACATGATAAGTTGATCACTGAAATGCTTGTACCTGTGTGTGATCTGTGGCATACTGCTTCTGTCTCTTGTCCAACTCAGAGTCAACTGAAGCTTCGACTTTGTCATCTGATAATTTTTCACTCGCAGTGGTAGAAAATTTTGACCATTGCTTGTATTCATCACTCAAGTTGAGGATAGCCAAAAAATATTGAGCTAGTTCTGCTTCCCCAATTAAACAGTCATTAATAGCCCCTGCATTTCAAATTTAAAGCATGTATCAGAGCAGAGTTGCTGAAAAATCTAAAGATCTCAATTATCTAACCAAATCCCAAATGGGAGAGAATTTTGTGTGGCTTGCGAGAGTAACTGTAGCCCATTGTTTTTCACCATGTTAGATCACAAAAGAAAGACAATTTCTCATTAACCATACCTGTTAAAGCAAGTTTCGAACACACCTCGGCATCAGGAATCTCTGGAGGCAAAACCCCAGGGGTGTCCAAGACATAAATATTGGGATGGCTACCAATCTGAAAATAAAAATCAACTCAGCTATTACATGATAAACACATACAGAAAGGAAGCTGAAAGAAAAGAGACATGCTGAAAAACCTCAGCATAACAAAGGTCTTCTCTTATGACCATTTTTTAAGAGAAGATGAAATAACAAGAGAATTTGGAATGCATTAGCTATAATTCCCAACCCAAATAATTCTAGCAATATAGGCGTAGAAGAAAGAAAGATTACACACCTTCAAGCTGCTGATATCTTTTGTCTCCCCTGGCAGCGGACTCACTGTTGCATGTTTCAACTTTCCTTTCTCTTAAAAATAAAAATATGCCACCAAATTAATGACCATAAATACATATTTTTTTTTATGAAAAAAAGAATCTTGAAAATTAGTTCTTCTAAATCAAACTTTTTAATTAGAAAATTAGTAATGGATAATAGGATTTAATAAGGTTGAAGTACCCGAAGCACTAATCCGCCCAATATGATGCAAGGAGTTGGCCAGGGCTGACTTGCCAACATTGGGAATCCCAACTAGCAGCACTGTTATGGTATGATTAGCATGATCAATCTTCTTCAATTCTCTAACTCGGGCTCGTAAAAAGTTCAGGAACTGTAAAATGTGAACTCCAATCAAATGCTACTAAATTTGATAAACTAAGGTTGAATTGAGAGAATCAACTACAGAACAATGTGCTTTATTGCCTTCTCATAGATGAAGATATTCTGGGACTTTCGTTGTGGACACGAAGTTCAGACTAGAGTCACCTATAAATAATGACCAAAAGTAATCCTTACCAAGTAAACCCCTAGTTCAAACAAAAGAAGAGAGAAACAAATCTTAAATAAGTTTCTACAATCCATGTTTAGAACTGTTCAAGAGGTAATTGCATTTTTCAGTGCACCAATATATGTGACTGCACAGTGACTCACTGCTAAGTAAGAACAAAACGAGTTCATTGCAAATGCCCTCTTTAATGAAATATACTCAGATGATATATTCTATAACACAATGAAATAATTTCATTTCAACGGGTGGTCCAATGCCCCGTTGTTAAATGCATTGTGAAAGAGTTGTACCTCCTTGATGTTCTCCTTATTATGAGAATTGACTCCATAAGAAATGGAGTTTTGTTGCTCAAAATATGACCTCCATGCCTGTAAGGGTATCAAATATGTAAAAATTGATATGAAATATAAATCATTCTAATGCCAATTTGCCAAATGAGTCTATCCAAATCAAAATTCTTGAAGTACATGTAACTCGTACAGAGGAATTCCTTTTCTCAAAAAAAAAAAACATTTGCACCAGGCATACACGAGATAAAATTTCACATAACAGAAATTACACCTTGCCTATTGATCATAACTGTGTCACTTCCTGAAGTTGCTTCTTTCAAAATATATATTCCTTGAATGGGCTTAAAAGAATTAACTACTTCCAAACTCATGCTTTTCCTTTTAAAATGGGATACAGTTAAGGATCAACTATTGGATTTGAGGGAAAAATGATCTGACCCTCCGAAAATTGCGGGGTTTAAAAAATGTTCAGTGAATATAATAACAGACTACTTGGAGTCAGGACAGACTAATAAGTAGAAGTGTTTCATATTTTAACTTAAGGAAGGGGTCTGTTCGATAAATTTTATGTTTCATCTTTCTAGAAAGTCACAACAATGAAAACAATATTTTTAAAAAATGATTCAGTGTTTTTGTTTTCTATTAGTTTAGTAATTTTTCTGTTTCATTTTTTATCTATCCAAAAATTCATTCCAGTTTTATTTTCATGTTTCTAGTAGGCTTACTGAATGACTTAGTTTAATACTTACCTGCTCCATCTTTCTTAAAAATTGCGTAAGAAAAGTTCCTTAAGCAGGTTGCCAATAAGGCTGAGGATGACTCTTAATGCATGGGTTGTGTGCAGGTTGATCATGATACATTCTTAATCTGTTTGTGCACAATCAGTGTCAAATTGTATGATTATGCATTAGAGTTAGCAAATTCTATTGAAAAACTGTTTATATTGGATATCATATCATTGACAATTTGACATGTGGACTAATTAGCTTTGGGCTGGATACTTCTGGACCAATTTGAAGTCAACTCAACTAAATATAAAGAGGTTAATTTAATTGGAAAATAGTGACAACTGCAATGAAGACACCAAAATACATAAAATAAGGCAAGCATGAGGTTGGGCAAGTTCCACACATGTTGAGTTCCGAAATCCTGCACACCATGTCATTCAGAATCCCTCAAAACTTTAGGAAACATTGGTATGTGCACACTACAAAACCTTCCACATGTTCAAACCCTTGGACTATCAACAGGAAAGTTTGGGGTGATCCAGCTTGAGTTACTCATATCCAAATCTTATGATAAATGATTGAGCTTAAAAAGTTCCATCACTTATTTATCAAAAAAAAAAAAAAAAAAAGTTCCAGCACTTACAAGCTTCAAAGCTCTAAAAGCATAATTATCCCTAAACTAAATGAAGTAGTTTACTCATGGCATACTTCACATTCATTTTTCTCTTAAATCTGCTGATTCTAATAGCAAAATTCCAATGTAAACAGATCAATTCAAGGAATTTAATATTACCAAGGACTGTAAGCTCAGCATAACCCCTGAACTTATCTATAGCTTTTCCGAACAAATCTTCATACTTATTCCACATTATTTGAGGTCACATAAAATTTTACATATTCACTGTTCCCAAAATAGATTAATATAGTAAAATTTTCATATTATGTCCTCCAATCATTCACTACTCCCACTGTAATTTTAAACCAACATTTAAATATGTTTAATTGAACATTTAAAAGCTATTTATTCTAAGGAAATACTAAAAGAATATGTAAAAGAAAAAAACAATGACCTTCATCTGCGAGCGACTAGCTAGGTCCATTTTGTTCAAGACTATAATGTGCCTCGAGGAATGTGGGAAGTTTCTCAGCAGCTCATATTCTGAAGACAACGGAACCTGAAATTAACCAAAAAGACATACTAACGTTACCTGAATGCACAAAATTTAAATTTTCATTTAAAACTCCCAACCCCAGCGGCCGCAAAAAAAAGAAAAGAAACCACATTCATGATTGAAACAATAAAAATAAAAACTGTGAACTGTGACTTAAAACTCTCTCACCCTACACCACTTCAATCCACCACACTAAACTCCATCAAAGACCATAACCAGCTGGCACAGAGCAATTTTGACACAAACCCAGTTCACAAAACAGTTAAATTCACACAAATGAAACATAAAAAAGATCCATTGAGGCATTTCATCAAACAGTTGGTCTACTACTAGTACTATGTGTAAAATTAAAAGCAAAGCATGAAAAGAAAAGCGTAAATATAGCTCACCCTTGCATCTCTGACTTCAAGGACAAGATCAACCAATGGAATTCGCTCCAATATAGCGCGAGATGCAGCAGCCATATGAGGAGTATACCAGCTCGACCCTCTCTTTCCCGGTGTTTTCTTAACTGCACCACCTAACTTTCGAATAAAACTAGCCGTCGCCGCCATCGGCTGCTACCCAGTAATTCAAAAAACAGAGTCAAAACTGTCTTTCACCTAAATTGGTTGTGTGGTTAATTAACGCCCCGGGTGGGATAAGTTAATTCGGGCTCTGTAGTGGGATTGTTTTTGTAATTTTTTAGTTTTTTTTTTTTTTGGTTAAAATATGAAGTAAAAATTAATATGTTTGAAATAATTTTTTAAATTTTTTATGAAAGATATGTAAAAATAAATAAATAAATAAATAAATAAATTAAATATTTGAATTTTTTTTGTATAATTTATTGTTTTTTTAACTTTTTATTTATTTATTTATACATTTTTAACTTTTAAACTAAAATTAAAAATTGGCAAACGAGACTAAGACTAGGCCTTTTTGTTTTTAGAGGTGGAATGAAGAGAATTTATAGTGAAGGGATTAAGCAAAATTGTATTTGTTTTGATGATAGCTGTTAGTGTAGGAATTGTTGAATTATTTTTATATAAAATAATAAAATAAATAAAAAATACAAAAAAATAAACATTAATGTTAAAAAAAAACCCAACATGTAAAAAATAAAAAATTTCTAACAGACTATTTTTTTAATACCACCTCCATCTCCGCCTCCACCTCCACCTCCACCTCCACCTCCATCTCCTCCATCCCAATCCCCCTTCCAACCTCCATCCTAATCCCCTCATCCATCTCAATCTCTTTTCCAACTCTACAAACAAATACAATACTAAATGAATTTCACCTCTATTCTAATTTCATCTCACCCTCTACGCTCAAAACAAACGGGAATACTGTACTGAGATGAGGATATAGCTATGCAGAGAGGGTTTTGACCCGAGTACTCTTTTGCTTTTGAGTGATAATTTCCCTCGGAATTTTAGTATGCATCCAAATTCCAAATGTATATTCGAAGGAGGACTCATCAAAATCCAGAGAAGCAATATTTTAAGAATCGGTCCGGATTGGCCAGTTCAATCGGTAGAATCGGTGACTGGATTTAATTCCGGTCTGGATAATTCACAAAAATCGGCCTTATTTGCAAAAATCAGAAAAATAGATAAAATCAGCGAGCCGGCCCCGATTCTCGACCAACTCGGTTGGTGTTTTTTTTTTCTTCTTTTTATTTTCTTATATATATATATATATCAAAATTTTGACTAAAAACTCTTACTTCAAGAGTTTCCTCTCATGAGAAGAAATTTCATTGGAAGTTTGAAAAAATTATGAAAGTCTATTCTTATTTATAGGAAAAAAATATTCAAAGAAAACTTAAAAATTCAATGTGAGATTCAATCAAATTGTTTGAATCATATTTGATTGGAGGGAGAGTTGAAAATTTCATTTCCCTCCAGAATTAAATCTAACATTCAATCAATTTGTTTGGAGGAAATGTTAAATTTTTTTAGTTTCTTTAAAACTAGTGATTTTTTTTTTAATTATTAATTATGACTTTATTAAATATTATGCAACACTATTTTTTATTATTTCAGTAATTATATATATTTTTATTGATTTAGAATTTAGAATTATATAATATTAATTATGACGTCACGGTTCGACCACTTCGACCCGACGGTTGAACCAGTAACCCGTCCACCCGGTCCCTTTTCCGGTTCGCTCACCGGTCCGATTTTCAAAACATTGGGCTTCACTACTGCATGCAGGTCAGTTATGGGCACATGCCTTATTGTGCCAGGCTTTTGACATGCTTAGCAACCTCTTGCTATTTAACCCTAAAATAAAACAAACCTTTAATTTTTAATTTTATCAATGTAAATTATAATCTTTTAATTTATTTTTAATCTAAATTATTTGTCTATTTTTGTTTAAACAAAATCAACGAAAAAATAATATTTTAGTTATTAAACTCAATATAAACATATATAAAATATCTAAAATATCATTTTCATTGAGTTTAATAATTAAAATATTTATTTTTTCATCAATTTTTCTTAACGGAAATTGGCAAATAGTTTAGATTAAAAACAATTCAAAATTTTAGAATTTAAATTAGTAAAATTAAAAATTCAGAATTTATTTTATTATAAGACTCAAACCTTGGGATTTTATTTTATTTTTTTATTTTTTAATTTAACTCTTTTTTCATATGATTTGATTTTCAAAAACTATATATATTCAGAAAACTAAAAAATAATTTAATAAAAAATTGAAAAAAATAATTATTCATATGATTTTTAGTCTTATGAGATGAAAATAATTTTAGAAAATTTAAAAATATATTTTTATGTGTATTTTTGTTAAAATTAAATCTTATTTTGTAAAAATAGAAAACAAATTATGAATTGTTATTGATTTTTTTCCCCCTCTCTATCACTCACGTTTTTTATAATTTTATTTGGAAAAATTACACTTTGTGTTCCAACATTTTACATCAAATTTACTTTATTATCTCGTTTTTCAATTTTGAGAGTTAACATCTTGCACTTTTCGATTAATTTGCAATATGATCCTATTGTTTGTTTGGGGATCGCTCTAAATGCACCTAAAAAATTAGGTTGGGCATTTCATTATTTTGAGCACCCAAATCTACAATTTAAATTTTTATTTATTTTTTGGGACACCCCAAATATTACCTATTATACTCCTAAAAACTCTAAAAATATACTAGAAACTTATAAAAACTTACTTTATACCCCTAAAAACTTACTTTTTACACCCCATTATCTTGTCATCGCCAAACTCCTGTCGTTGCCATTCAGAGACTCAGTGTCGAACAAATTAAATACGTTTGAATACTTAATTACAAAAATATTAAATTTCTTTGGATACTCAGTTCCAAACAATAAAAAATTGGTTCTAGCTTTTTCATCCGAATACTTATTGTCGAACAAATGAAATATGTCCAGATACTCAATTCTGAACAACAAATCTTGATTTTAGCTTAGAAATAAGTTTCTGAATAAACATAATTTGCTTGGAACTGAATTTTCAAATTTTTTTTTGTAAACCCAATAGTAGAAAATGATGAATATTAATAGAAAATCTACCTTCCCTATAAAAAAATTATTTGAAAATGTCTTATTCATTATCCATTGTTGACTTCAGTATGAAATAGAATGCAAGAATAATAGATGCAAGAATGACAGATTCAAACAAAATAAGATTGAGTATAAAGATGCAAAGTGAAGAAAGTAAGAAGATAAGAAAGAATGAAATATTGAGATTGATTAAGTTAGGGTGCTCAACTTGGTGGGAAATTTTATTTTTACACACCTACTTATCTTAGTGTATACACTTAATAAAATATTATTTTAATGGTAATTATATCTTAAAGTAAAATGACTATAATGGATATCAAAACACACTCATAATATTATATCAAAATATTCTCTGTACACATATTTTTTTTAAAAAAAATCTCAATCCACATCTAAACCCTAATTTCTCTATCGAATATCCATCTTTAAATTTCCAGCAAAATGAAAAACCCATCAATTTGAACATGTCTTGTCCCCGATAAAAACCCAACAATTATATCTAGCAAAATGAAATACTCAACTTTGGACTTTATCGAACAGGTCGTTTGCACACTCCCACCATAGCAAAATTTAGACAACAAATATATATATATATAGAGAGAGAGAGAGAAAGAGAGAGAGCAAAGAAATTGAAGTAATGGTCAATATGGGGAAGGTGGTGGTGGTGGTGACTGTCCACGGTGGGGTGAGTTGTTCAAGGAAGCGATGGAATGAGAGATGATGTCATTCAACCAGTTCTGTTTGTAAGCACTATTTTTACCTCTCTCTATCTCTCTCTCTATATATACATCGTCTTGCCATCAATGATGGATACCATCTCTATCTTGATTTCTTTTTTCCAGTAATATTTGAGTGTTTATAATGGTTGTAGTGGAAACAAGGTATGATGTTTGTGTAGGGGAATTAGGTGTTGATTTGGTGATGATGAGTCTGGTAAAAGAGAGACAGATAGGGTAGGGGTTTTGAAAATATCTAACTATTTTAGAAGTTAACAGTCGATTAAGAGCTATTTATTTATTTATTTATTTTTTTTGGGTAAACCAGTGTCGAATGAAAAATTAGAAAAGAAAACCCGCAGGTCATTTGCATACATCAGGTGTGTAGAAGAGGGTTTTTAACCGAATGGGTGAATGTGTGTAGAATGAGGGTTTAGGTGATGTGTGTATAAGGATATGAGTTAAGGTATAATTAGAACCTAAAGTGTGTAGAATGAAAAGAATAATCAATAACCAAATTAATAATTATGTACATTGAGAAATGAAGATTATTTTAATTTTACCCCTATACTTTTACATGATTTTCAATAACTCCCTAGACTACTCTTATTTTCACGTGTACCCCTATAGTATTTAAGTTACTATCAATTTTGCCCATGCTGTCACATTTGAAACGAAAAAAGTTAAAAAAATTACATTTTGGCTCCAAATTTCAAAAGAAAGATGCAAACTTACTATTTCCTACCAGCAAACCACCATCGCCAGCCACCAATTCAAGCCCTTTTATCTCCTTCGTCATAATTCCGTTTTGCCTCATTTTTATGTCATTGGATTCAATTCACGGTCTAGTTTTTGTATCACATCTCACACATCTCGTTCTTTCTCTTTTTGCATGCTATCGGAGCTCTGAAAGTTGATATAAAAAAAAAAGGACTTTTCTTCTCATTTTTGACTTTTCTTCGAGCCATCTTTCGGACTTCATATCTTTCTCGATTCTTGACAGTCCTATTTCATTCTTTCACCATTCTCTTCACCTCACTTCTTATTTCACCATACACTACCTCGCTTTCTCACTTCTTCGTATAATGGGAAGTTTTGGTATGCCGAAAGTTGTTTGAAAACTAATTTTGAAAATTTCAAAACATTACAACCCATATGGTGCAGTTCTGTGAAAAAAAGTGTTTGGTACCCTTCCCCTGCATTTTTCGCCACCATATCTTGACACTCCCATCTGCGGAGCCGGTGACGACCAACCCATCAAATCCGGCAACCACCGCATTCGCCGCGTCATCATGAACATGAATCGATTCCAAGCATTTCGAATTCGATACTCTCCAAACCTTCATTGTCTTATCCCAAGAAGCTGAGTATAACAAAGATTTGTCTTCGCTCAAACTAAGACACAAAATCACATCGAAATGTTT